AATTTGATCCTGTCCTTTTTCTAATCCCATGGGCCTGACTCTGTTGTCCAGATCAAAGAAACTTTTCTTTCTCCACAAAGACCTATAGATTCTTCATAAACTGCCATCGCTTTTGCAGAGCATGGTGCATGCTCAGCTTTCTCAAACCCCATCTGACATGAGTGTCCCCTTCCCTGCTGCCAGGAGCAGCACCAGCATGGGAGTGTCCACCCAGGAAGGCCAACCCGTGTGGATTTCCCCATGTAGGCTGCAGCCCATTGGCCCAGAATTCCAGGTGCTGATCTTAGCAGACCCTAAGCCCACCCGGGATAAAACTGGCACATTTATGTCAGTGCTGGGTCAGCTGTGGTCTGGGTCTGCCTGCTGCCTAGGGGCAGAGAGAAAAGAGAAAGGGAACTTCAGAGTAGGCTGGTCTAGTTCATGGCACGCTCTGCTGGGGCCACCATGCCATGAGGAGGCTGGGAGCAGAGGACAGTGGTGCCTAGCAGAGGTTCAGTTTACCAGCTCCTCTGCTCCACAAAGATAGGGGGTGGTGGGGTGGGGAGATACACACACACACACACACACAGACACACACACACACTTAAGGGTGTTTAGCATCTGGCAGGACAAATGCCCCTGCTCATTGGAAAAGATGTCCTCATCAACGTCCTGGAGTCTGTCCCAACCAGACTGGCTGCCACTTTCTCCTTTGGGAAAAGAATCAGAATCTGTGAAAAGGATCTGGGCACAGACATAACTCCAAGGCCAAAGTCACCACCAGCCAGAGTTACCCTGCCCTTTCATTACTAGATCATCTGAATTCCAGTCTCTAGCTTCTTCCAGTGAGCTTTCACCCTCTCAAGCTTCCAGTGACTTCTTTGAAACTCAGGTGTCCCTTCTGCACCCCTGGCTGTTCAAAAGAAGTCCCATATCAACAAGTCCCATATATATCCCTTCTGTATAAAATGTTGACCATTGTCACCAACTTGACTCTAGCCTCCTGCTCCAGAACATACTTCTCCCCAGTGTATAACAATGAGCATTCTGGACCTCTCCAGTCCTGTGTCCCATGGTCTTGAGAGAAGCTTTGAAGTTTCTGGCTTTCCCTCCAACCTCTACTCACCCTATTTGTACCCCCACCCCCGGCTAACTCAGCAAAATTTACCTCTCACTCCCAGTAAACTGCTTCTCTTTTAGTGGTGGAAGCAGCTAAGGAAGGTTTCAAGTGGATTTTTTTTTGCTATCCCTTGCACAAACACGTGAGCTCCTGGGAGCTGGCCCTCCTCATCCTGGGCTTGTCCTTTCTGATCCTTTAGGTCTTGCCCAGGGCCTCTTCCCATCCCTCAGCCACATTTCAGGAAAGCTGGGAACCCCCTGGAGGGAAGGAGGAGAGACACAGTGTCCACAGCACGTCATGAACTCAGATAAGTACTTTCACTTCCCTTTTCTCCACTGGGGCGGAGCCCCCTGTGGATAAGCTGGTCTGCTTAGAACCCAGCTGTGACAGTGGGCTCAGGCCAGGCAGACAGGAAGGATCAGGACCCAGGCTCTGAGGATGGCAGGTGGAGGCCATGACCTGAGCACCAGGTGAGTCTTTATCTCTCTCCTTGTCTCTGGCAATATTGCCACCTTCATGTCTCTAGTCCAGTTCATGTCTGAAGCTGTACTTGAGTTTAGTCCTGCTTTGCAAGGACAGAGGTATGTCATACAAAGAAAACAAAGAGTAGGTAATGAGGAAATTGGGTTTTATAAAACTGTGGCAGGATGGCTGTCAGTGTGAGTCCAGCTTCCCATAATACATGTGACTTCCTGATTATGCAGCTGCCGCTCTGCTGCCCAGGCCTCTCTGAACACAGGAGTCCTTTGAGGAAGGCGGGGATTTGTTGCTTCCTCATAACCTCTATGTCCCTCTCTCTGCTTTCTTTTCCCTTCTCATAGGCCATGTCATAAAGGTAGTTTAGAACATTGACGCGC